TTAGCCTCCTTCGCGCATGCCATGCATGACTCGCTGCATTCTTAAGCCTTCTCACCGTGTCCGCATCACCTCTCCCCACCGTGAGCACTCTCCAATACCCATGCGCCACAACAACATCAATCATGTGAGCCAATCTTTCATTGCACAAAACAAATATATAGGGAGAAATTGGGTCGCCTTGTCGAATTCCTCGAGATGGGATAAATTTCTCTCTAGTGGCCCCATTCCATTGTTGCTGCATGGATGCCGACGAAACACACACCAGTAAAGTATCCAAAAAGACTCTCGGAAAGTGCACAATCTCCAATGTTTCTCGGATGAGATCCCATCGAAGATAGTCATAGGCCTTTTCCAGATCCATCTTAACTACCATGAACCCCCGCTTCCCCGTCATACCATGCATTGAATGAATTATTACGTGAGCAATAACAATGTTATCAGTGATATGTCGCCCCAGAAGAAAGCTCGCCTGAACCGGATTAGTGATTAGGGGAAGGATTGGCTTCATTCTCTCTGCTAACACTTATGCCAGAAGATTATACACAACATTAAGAAGGCTAATGGGCCGAAATTGTTTCAAGGACCAGGGATTCGCACCTTCGGAATCAACACCAAATATCAATGATCAAAGCACGGACTGACACGCCAACCAGGTGCCATTTTTGCTGAAAGAAAATAGCATGCAACTCGTCTAACCCTGGAGCTTTGAAAGGAGCCATTCTCTTAACAGCGATAAAAATCTCCAACTCCGATATATCAATCATGATCAAACATAGTTGATTAGAATCTACTGGCAGAAAAATGTACCTAATACGAATCCCAACTGGTGTATCCTCTGGAGTTGTGTAGATTTTTTCGAAAAATTAAACTGACATCCGCTGCAAGGCCATCGGCTCCTCAATTATCCAACCTGCCTCGTTTTTTAAGGTGATGGTTTTACTTTTCCGTCTTCTGTAGTATTTGGTTGTAATAGGAGGTATTCCTGTCACCGAATAACCCGCTGGGCCTTTTGGAGCAGCTACAGCTTCTCCTGTAAGAGCATGTCGACAAGCTCTATTTATAGATGATGCTCCAAACGACGAAGAAAAGGGTTCCTCACGTAATCACCTTCCATTGGATACCCCTAATATGGACCAGCAGGCATTGTTTCTTCTGAAATATACTTCCAAACACATGATAGTTCCAAACTGTAGCCTTAAAAGTAAACTCCACTGCCAAAGTGGCGTAGGAGCCTCCCATAGACCATACCTGCATCACCAAATTGTCAAATCCCTCATGAGTGAGCCATGCAGCAAGAAACTAGAAAGGTTTGAGCCCATTGGGTCGAGCCGCTTTAATTGCCCGAACTAAGAGAGGAGTATGATCTGAGTGTGTCCGGGGGAGATAGAACACCATGCTATATGGAAACATGTCCATCCAAGCTTCATTGCCAATCCACCAATCCAGCTTTTCCATCAGGGCATTTCGAAACGACGTCACTTGGTCCCCATCCGTGCACATCAACTCATGAAGATAATTGTTAAAGATCCAATCTGCAAAGGTTGAGCTAGTATTACAATTCCTAACAGACCCTCCTTGCTTTTTAGAAAGACAAAAAAGGAAATTAGAATCTCCTCCTATGACCCATGGACCTGTAACCCTCTGTGCCAAATCGTTCAACCGGTCCCAAAGAGAGCGGCGGATCTGGGGATTCGGGCTAGCATAAATGACGGACACAGGCTGGGACTGAGACCCGATACTGATCTGAGCATGCACGTGCTAGCGGCTACAATCCAATACCTGCAGTCCACCTCATTCTTCCATAAGATCTAGATACCGCCGGAGAACCCACGAGCCTGGACTCGAAAAGACAGGGCGTAACCACTCCGACAAATAAAATTGTCTCCACCTACTCCACTAATTCTTGGTTAAACCATCGCAAAGACATCATTATTATACTATTACTTTAAATTAGTAAAGGCTCATATGAACGCATCAGAATTGGTCCTCCTGACATTCCAAGATGCTATTTTCATACCAGACACTCGGGGAAGAAGATCTATCCATACGCATCAAATGGAACCAAGGACTTGTGTCCTTAATCCGTTCTCCATTTTCATATCCCGGCTCGCTGCTACTCGACTTTCGTGTGGACCAACGCCTAACTGTTCCTTCCCTAGACCTAACAACTACCGACCAGATGTCGTCTGGTCAACTAGCATACTCGAATATCCCAGATCCAGGGGTTTTACTTTCTCTCCAATTTGGGGCTGAAGCGAGGAATCCACCACCTATACTATATGATGCTTGGACGAGTCCAAAGTGGAGGCCACATGAAGCACTTTAGATAGAAGTAAACACGACCGTGGTATCTGTCTACAAACATGCCCCATAGACCCCCGTCGCTTAACCCCATTGGGGTGTAAACCCTGACCCTTGTACCACCTTGTCACATGTCTCATTATGGGAGCTAAAAGCTTCCCCCTGCACGGCCCGATTGGAACTCTTTGGTGCTTGAACCCCCAAACGACCCGAGACATTCTTCATACCCACAGTTAAAACACGCCACTCGGCCTCTTTCCCTTTACTGCTAGTCGTAAAGGCCACCGCCGAAGAAACCACCAACCGTTTGACGGCTACCAGGGCCCCACTAGGGCTGCAAGCAATGGGAGGCTGAGGAACCTCGTCAATTTCCTCCCACAACAAACTAAACCATGACCCATTGCCAGGTGCAGGTGCTTTCTGTTTCTGTGCAGAGGTGTCATCCCCAGGTTTGCGGCAATTAAGACGTCGACCATTGGTTTTAGCCACAAACCATGGCCCATATAAACCTCTATTCTCGCCATCAAGGTTGGCCTCCCGAGTACTGGAACCGACTCCTTGTGCCATAGCAGCACCTCGAATCCCTTCCTCGGCATGCCACTGTCCGCTATGAGAATCACCCGGAGCCTCAGTTGTAACACTCCACTTTGATTTTAAAGAAATCACGGGCTTTCCAAAAATAAACAATTTCTGAATTCATTTTCGAAATACATGGGTGTTAAACAACATTTTACTCAGTCCAAGTCTTATCTGGACCCTCGGGGATTCATTACCCAGTTTTCACAAGGTTTTCATTAACCCAATTCACATCACATAACAATATTCCAGCATGAATACTCGAAACCACATAAAAACAAAATCACGAATGTTCATAAAACCAACATAAGGGTTCATCAAGTATTTCAAACCATCAAAACAAAACATAGGTTTTGAAAATGATTTCGAAATGTCTAAACATAAAGAGGTTCGAAAGACCACATTTATTCAATGGAAGCATAAATAAAATAAACACATGAACGACCCACTCGCCCCTCGATCGTCATGCACACCATCCTGCCTTAACCTGCATCCATGAAGAGCAGGTGGGGATGAATATTCATGTCAATGTTCAAGTTTAAGTTATTCAGTCAGTCAAGTTCCAAGTTCGACGTTAAGTCGAATATATATATCCGGTTAATTTTATTTATTAACCGAGTTAATAATAATAATTAATCTCAGTCTGTTTATATTAATATATAGACATTAGTAAGATCGGGATTAATTATTTTAAGTCGACGTATTATTCGATGTCGAGAATATTTGAATTAATTGTCGAAGTCGAGTCCCGATCGAAATTGAGTATGTTCGGTTAAGTTATGTCAAACCCTAGTTTAATTTGTGCTTATGCTTGGAAAAAATTTCTATGTATTAAGTATAGATATAGCATAAGTGTTGAATTAAATCCTAAGTACCAAAAGCCTAGTCCATGCGCCAATGGTTCGCATATCTCAATTGCCACGCCAAGTGCCGAGAGCAACTTTCAATTGCTAAGACTATTGTAAGATTAAGCTCTATTATTAAGCTTTAATTAAGCTTATGAGTTAAGTATATTCATTAGTAAGATTTGTAAGAACTTGACACAGAAGATGGTGATTAGTCTTTTTAGATTGCCACCAAGGTCCATATTAATGCCAAGTGTCTCTCTTAATCCACCTCATGCTAGCTTTTCATCTTCTCATTTTATATAAATTGTTAGTAAGTGTAGAGGAATGACGTTTTCATCACTTTACTTAGATTTCTTCATTATTTTCCTCCTTTCCTTGTGATTGCCGAGAGGATTAGCCAAGGTAAGTTTACCCAAAGTTTATTATTCTTAGGCTTGTAAAAAGAGAATAGCCGAGAGTAGAGCATGAGAGTGAAAGTGTACCTTTGGCCAATATATTAAGTTGTTGAGTGAAGCTTAAGGAGTAAGAGGTCAAGGAGAATAGCTTGATAATAGCCGTTGCCGAGGTGTACCGCACGGACGTTTCGGGGAGCACACTGGCGCAAGGGAAGCACACGAGCAATTGGAGGGGAAAATTCATATTAACCTTCTCCTAATTATTTTATATCCATGTTAGAAAGATCATGTAGTAATCATGTAGTTCGGTTTATTAGAAGTGCCATTTAGCGCTCGGAGTTGTCATATCTACCTTCCCGAGCCATCTCATGTTCTACGCGACAAGTCCCGAGCGATTCATGCTGCAATATTTAATTTTGGATATTTTATGATTTATCATGTCAAGAAATCGAGTTTTGCACGGGTAGAATTAAAGATTCGGATTTTTGAAGTTAATCGGCTTAAAAACGAATTTATAGTTTCAACCTTGTTTTGGCCGAGATTAGTAGCCTAAAAATCATGATAAATCACATATAAGAGGCCTGTTAGGTTTCAGTGTGTTTCGAGTTAAAGTGCTCGGTCAAGTTGAACGTGATTTTAGCCTATTTTTACTCCCGAGCCATCTCAAAATCTAACTGGACACTCCCGAGCAATTTATGTGTATTTGGTCATTATATGTCATGTTATGTCCAGCTAGGTTATGGTCACCGGAAAACATCGCCAGACAGCCGGCGAGGTGCCGATCGTAGCGCCTGCCCGCACATAGTGGGCGCAGTGCGCGTCCGACAGCAACACAGGACGTGCGAGTAGCGCGCGTACGCCAGTCGTGCGTCGCACGCAGCCCTCGCCCGCAGTGTCCAACAGCGCGCTGCCAGTGAGCATGTGCATAGGCGCGCGCAGTGCACTCCAGTGAATCACGGCAGCACGCAGCCAGTGCCTGCAGTGCGTCGCGAGCGTCGGCAGCGCACGCC